AGAAGTTGCCCAGGGGAGCGGGAAGGACACAGGTGGGCCTGCCTGGTGGTAATGGCCTTTCTCCAGATCCCCTCCTTCAGCTTTCATCTGGGAACAGAGTGAGCTACCCTGCCTGACCCACCCGTGCTGTCACCTTGAACCTGAAACTCCTCAGCAGGCAGCTTGCGTCAGCCTCCAGGTGTCTGGCCCTGTGACAGGAGAACTCCGGGTGACGCTTTGCTTCTCTCTGTAGGTCACGCAGGAGATCCTGGGCCTGATTAAAGGGCAGCTGGTACTCAGCATCAATGATTGCCACATGGACATGCAGGATTGGTGTCGTCAGGTCATCCAGGTCTTTAAGAAAAGTTAGAAATCTGGACTTTTAAATGAGATTTCCCACTTTTTAGATGGTGGCAGAATTTACAAAAACACCGGACAGGTCACCTGCGGGCTGCCAGCTGACCACCTCTGCCCGGCAATGAGGAGTCATCAAAGGGCATTAAGGACGAGTGGATGAGATCAAATGTGTGTTTCAGAGAGATCTCAGGTTGTTGGGAGGTGGTGGGTGGCTAAGGATGGGAAGAGGCTGAAGGCTGGACCAGTTAGGGGCCCAGGAGAAGAAAGGATGCTTGAGGCAGGTCAGTCACCTGGGATGGAAGGAGAGCAGTGACACTCCTGGTGAGAATAAGCAAGTCTTACTCTTGATGTGTTCACACCTCAGAGGATGGCCACAGGGCCAGGCAGGCTGCCCTGTGAGTGGATCCTCTGGCTGTGGAGGGGTGGCCTCTGCAGGGGCCCTTCCGCCTGGGAGCCCACACTGCTCTGTATGGAAGTCCTCCCCTCCTCGCCGGCTTCTATAAACAGGTTATGAGTGTCTGTAACTCCTTCTCCCAGGCAGGAAAATTATTAGGATTAGCCTGCCAGTGCCAACAGTCCTTACAGGGTCTTCTGTGCAGGTGCAGCCCCAAGAACAGAGTCTTGGGTCTGGGCTGGGCCTGGAGAATGTGACCTAGGCAGCTTTCCCAGTATCTCTGCAACTGGGTGCCCAGCGCTGTCTGTGGCCCAGGGGACTGAGAACGGGTGTGAATCAGCATCGGTTCTGCTGAGGAAGCCCATGCAATGCTGGCTGGGTTACTGTCTCAGAGCCCAGTATTTGGTACCAGCTACTAAGTTAATGACAGGGCACAAGCCCACATCTGTGATGCCCTGGTCTACTGCTCTCCGCCTCAAACCATGGCTCGTCTCTCTCCATCCTCCCGGCTTACCCACGTGAGCTTCAAGGTGCTCGCTCAGCTGTCCTTGAGTACGTGCTGCCTCCTATGGGAGGTTTTCTTCTGTCCCTGTCCCCACCTCCTTGCCAAACAAACATGAGCATTCAACAACTCCCTCGTCATTTTCCATTTAACGAATTTCCTCCTATTTATGTGAATGGTCATCTCATTTATGGTTTCATTTTATTTTCATGGTGAGTAAAACAAGCTTTCATTTCAATTCTGGTTGCATTATTGCGTGGGTGCTGTCTGAAGGCGTTTACATAGTCACTTGCCTGCCGGGACCACAGAACGCTGGCTTCGGAAAGGCCTAAAACCTCATGCACACAGATGATTCCCCAGCGTGGGTCCTGGGTCAGTGCCAGCCCAGGAAGACTTTCTGCTCGTTCATGGTCACGAGGGCAAAACAAGGACAATGTGGAGAGGTTGCCTGTGCACATGTGTACGTCTGTGTGCATCATACACATGTGCATGTGTGTGTGAGAAGCAGGCACAAGTTGAAAATGTTTTCCATGATACTCTATTCAACTCAAAGGATGACTCTTTTTGCTTTCCTCACATTTGGGGGGTTGAATTACTTGGTGAAATGATGGTGAAAGAGACACTTAATATTTTGTCCATATGTAAGTTTGTCAGCTCTGTCAGTCTCCTGCTATTTGTGACATTGTGCCGATGGGTGAGACCGCGTTCAGGAGGCTGCGCTCTGGAGCAGATTCTCACCCAGTGCAGGATCCTCCGTCCTGTGTGGAGAGCTCGCTATAGCCGAGGAAGCCCAGCTTGGGTTTGGATGGTTCTCACTGCTAGAAACTTCTTTCTTATGTTGAACGGAGGACTGGCTTCCTCTAACGTCCATGAGCTAGTCCTAACCCTACAGTCCAAAGGAGCGCAGTTTCTCTGGCATAGTTTCTTCAAATGTTTGGAGGACCACCATGTGGGAGAAAGGTTGCTGCTTTGCCAGCATTTCTAGGACCAAAGGGTGTTATTAGAGAGGGACAAATGAAGGGACAACTCTAGCTTCTTCCGTATCTTCTACTTCACCGCTCCTAATGATGAAAATAGCAACAGCGATAGCTGACGTTCAGTGAGTGCTTATGTTGTGCTAGGAACTGCTGAGCACTTTACAGTATATGAAATCTTCAATCCTCACATCTAATCTCAGAGGTAGAGCCCCTGTCAGCCCCATTTTACAGATGAAAAACTGAGGCACAGCGAAGATGGGTAATTGCCCATTGTCACACTGTCGTAAGGGTCAGAGCTGTGCAGTTTGATTCCAGAGCCTGCACTATTAACTACTGAACGTTTTACCGGTACTTTAACTACTAGATGCCTTCGCCCATCTCTCTCTTCTACTCATCGCTGTCCAAGTTATTAAAATATGCCAGAATTGCACCAATAAACACAAAGTAAGGGACCATGTGCCCCTCGTTGGACCTGGTATGTCTATTATTACACCTAAGATCATGATTAATGGGTTTGGCAACACCACACCCTGGGCTCATCCTGAGCTTGCATTTGATTCAGCCCACTTTTTAAAAAAAAACAGGTCACCTATGCTGTGTTTTTGCAATTGATTTTTGAATGTGAGAGTAGGATTTGGTGTATAGATTCTTGTCAAAATTTTTCTACAATTCTGTAAAAAATAAAAATGGATTTTCATGTGGACATAATATAATGTAATGGTTTTAGAGTGATGGGATTGTAGGCACTTGTACGTTATCTTCAAAATTATTATATTTATGGCTGTCATGATGTTATTGTGCAAAAAGTAAAAACTGATAGAGGAAAGATTGATTTTTTAGTTCTGGCCCATCCTTTCAGCGTGTTAAAAGCGTTATAACACCCTTGAATCCATGTCTCTCGCATAGCAACCACCCCTCCCAGCTTTGCAGCATATGCACATGGCGAGTCTGCCATATCTTCTTCCAGGATGCTGGTGTCTCCACAGGATGAAGGCCTGCTCCCTGCAGTTCAGTTTGGAGGCTTCCTGTACTGAGTCTAGTATGCTCAATAGCCACGTGACCATACTTTAGGAGAATACAAGTTGAGCTCATTGCTCATCAGGGGCTGGTTCGGAGCTGCTGGTTGTGGATTCTGGTTGGAATGAAAAGAGTCCATCATTAAACATTTCTGAGAACCCGATGCATGCTGGGGATTCTGCTGGGTTCCAGGGCTATATAGACGTATAAGATGTAGCCCTCATCCTCAGATCTGGTCTTGTCTCTGATGTCATGCAGATGGTGGTAGACAACCCCAGAGGAAGTGCCTCATCTTGGGGGACACCTTCCTCCCATGGGCACATCACACCCCCCCCCCACTCCCCCCGGTGCCTGAGTCTTCTACCTGAAATCCCACCTCTTCCAAGGAGCCTCTCTGTCTTAAATAGAAGGAAAATACTAAAGGTTGTGGAGATGGGGCAGAACTTCTCTTCATGTCATTTCCTTGTTGAAAAGCCTTCCGTGGTAACTCTGTGTGGTGACAGTAACTAGACTTGTGGTGATCACTGTATAGGTATGTAGGTGTCGAATCACTGTGCTGTACACCTAAAGCTAATGCAGTATTGTGTGTCAACTATACTTTAATTAAAAATCAGAAACTTCAATGGCTCTATGAGCTCACAGCCCAGCCTGGTCTCTCTGTCTGACATTCTAAGCTCTGGATGCTGCGGTCCAGCCGGCTCATTCAGTGTCAGTCCCTGCTCTGGACTCTCTCGGGCAGGCTAGCCTCTGCGTTGCCCCAGGGTTCTGCATGCTTCTTTCTCTCATCCTTGCTGGGATTGCTCCCCTTTCCTGGGCTGCCCCTTCTCTCCCTTCCATCAGCCAAATCTCTCCTTTCCAGTCCTCCAAGACCCCTGGAAACTTCCCTGAGCACTTCATCTCTTCCCGACTTCATTTCTCTGTGGAGAGAGAATTATAGTCTCCACCACACAGCTCGGCACGGCCATATATATAGTCTTGTCTTATCTGATGCTGTTTCATGTGGTTAATCTTATTCCTCCAATGATGCCGCGGCACTTTTATAACAGGACCCATGGATCTTATTCCTGCTGCACCTTGCGAGTGTAAATCACAGAGCAGACACCTGGTGATGTGTGTTGGGCTCTTCCTGTTCTTGTTCATGTTGCTTTACCTCAGAAAGAGAATAAAAAGCAGTCATGTTTTTGATCTTCCCAGACTTGCCTTATTATTTTCCACGCGTGTTCTTTTCCTTCCGGCCCAACTGGACTCCGCACCTTTGCTTGAAAGTCCGCTCCTACACCACCCTTCCCTATTCTTGCCATCAGCAACAGGATTAGTTCTGTTGTTTGTTTGCTTGCTTTTTGCAGCTTTCCCCGCGTAGACTACAGATTTCCAGGGGGCTGCTCAGCTCTGTCCCCTGCCTGGGGTCTCCCATCAGACAGGAGATGTCAGTAAATAATGATTGCCTCGGCCAGCTCAGGGCTCTCCACAGCCATGAGCCTCTTCCTCTGGAATTTCTCTAGGGAAGGGTGTGGAACTCAAAGAAACTGAGGCCACAAGCAGGTAAGAGAGAGCGATCCTGTCTCTTTGTCCTGGTTAGCTGTCTGCAATCATAGTTTTGTACCAGGAGTGCCTGGCTCAGGAGACTTAGCCACTCAGCACTGTGGGCACAGGGCTGCCAGCCTGGCTTTGCTGCTGGGAAGACCTACTTCTGATTGTACTGTCATCCTCTTCTTGGCTCTCACTCCCAGCAGAATCGTACACGGTCTATAAAAATGTTTTCTTTCATTGACAGGTGAAGTCTGGAGCAGGACTCTGAGGCTTTCTGTCCTCCATGCCACTCATCAGAAGAGGGACTGTGAACTGTAAGTAAATTTGATCAGCGTTTTCTATGGTGATTCAATAAGGTTATGGGTTAAAGACCAGCCTTGAACCTGATCTTTAACAGCCATGCATTGTGCACGAGAAATCAACAATGGGATAATCAGAACATAAACTGCGGTGGACCTCTCGTTAGCTTAAGTCTGAATGTGACAAAGAACACAGCATTCTATTTACTTGGACTATTGATGGTGCAGGGCATGGACATGCTGTGTTATGTGTGTCAGAGAGGGCACCTCTTGGATTTGCAATACTGACCCAGGCCCCGGCCCCTATTGTCTATGGACTAAGCCTGGGGGTCAGTGATAGGAGGGCCTGGGCTGAGGTCATGGCCCGTGTTGTTATATCTGGTTATTTCTAGGGAGGGGTGAAGAAGGATAAGGAAATACCGCTGTCACTTCCCTTCCATTACACAGTAACCTTCTACCGTAGACTTGTGCTTATTAGTTCATATTGGTTCTCCCACTTGGCAAGATTCACACACCTGTAGGACCCGGCCTCAGTCCAGTCTCCTCTGTGGAGCCTCCTTTGGTAGCTCCAGCTGGATCCTTTTCTGCAATTCCCCTGCAGTCACATGCCGAGCACCCTCTGGCCGAGGCTGGGGGATCTGAGGCTCATCTGGGATTCCCACTCTTCATGTCCTGCAGCCTCCTGCTGCGCCGAAGGTGTGAGCTGGGCCTGGGCTGCCCTGGCTCCCAGCTTCTCCACCCTGCTCTGGGGCTGCAGGGGCCGAGCTGCTGCTGCGACTTTGATAGTACATTGGCTTCCAACCAGTCCATGGAATTATAAATGATTAACCGTTATCAGCACACATCTTCACCTCTGTGTAAAAATAGATTGACTGTAATGAGTATTTGAATAAATCATAAGAATGGCCGCCCTGCGATCATCTAACATCCTGCTGATGGCTGCCCAGTGAGTGAGCAGGGCGCCGGCCCTTCGCCTAATGGTCTGCGATTCAGTGCTGGTCGCCTCTGTGATTGACGGCCACGGCTCCCAGGGCACCTCCTCTCCAGCCCAGGGTCTGGAGTAGTTGGACCCCCAGGTCCAGGGGGTGGGGAAGGGCGCCTCCCTCATCCTGTTCCAGGAAAGCCTACCTAGGAGACAGGGCTGGGGTGAGGGAGCCAGAGCAGAAAGATAATGACCTCTGTGAGAATCGATGTCTCCTCGCACCGGAGGTTAGAGGGACCTCATAAGTCAAGTCAAGTACGCGAGGAGCAAGCTGAGCATGAACCTTAATGAGAGCCAAGTACGGGGGGGAATAGGTCTTCATGTTCTCTGCCTGTCCCTGCGGGCACCAGGCTCCTGGGCCACTCGCACAGAGGGACACCTCCCTGGCAAGGATACACCCCTGGGCTGCACGGAGGAACAAGGAAAAACTGGTTTCTTCAGGTCCCACGACTCAGACATGGGAAGATTAAAATGATCTTTCAGGTGTGGGGGGATGAGGATGAGGAGAGGCAGGTTCAGAGGGCCTGGGACCAGCTGAGGAGGGAAAAGCCGGAAGCTGTGGTGTCTCAGAGAGACGACCAGTGAAGGCTGTATTTGAGCGGGAAATAACAAACATTCTAATTTAATCTCAGTGGTGTTCCAGTCCGTACGGCTGTGTAAGAAACCACCCCTAAACTAACAACTTAACAATGTTTATTATGCTCATATAATCCGTAAGGCATGAGTTCAAATAGGACCCAGTAGGGACAACTGGTTTCTTTCTTTTTCTTTTTTTAAAATATATATTTTATTGATTTTTTACAGAGAGGAAGGGAGAGGGATAGAGAGTTAGAAACATTGATGAGAGGGAAACATCGATCAGCTGCCTCCTGCACACTCCCTACTGGGTATGTGCCCGCAACCAAGGTACATGCCCTTGACTGGAATCGAACCTGGGACCCTTGAGTCCGCAGGCTGACGCTCTATCCACTGAGCCAAACCAGTTAGGGAGGGACAACTGGTTTCTATTCCATCAGGTCTGGTGTTCAGCTGGGGCAGATAAAAATCTGGGTGCTAGAATCATCTAAAGCAGCGGTTCTCAACCTGTGGGTCGCGACCCCTTTGGGGTCAAACTACCCTTTCACAGGGGTCACCTAAGACCATCGGAAAACACATATATAATTACATATTGTTTTTGTGATTAATCACTATGCTTTAATTATGTTCAATTTGTCACAATGAAATTGGGGGTCACCACAACATGAGGAACTATATTAAAGGGTCGCGGCATTAGGAAGGTTGAGAACCACTGATCTAAAGCAAGCATGTCAAACTCAAAGGCTAACACGGGCCAAATAAACAAGGTTTAAGTTTATGTGGGCTGCAAAAAAACAAAAGCTTTCATTTTCATAGAAACATAGGTTTATTTTGATAGAGACATGATGACTACAAAGGGCTGAAATAAATGAGTAATTGTTAACATAAAATAATAGAACATTTTAATAAAAATTAATATTTTTTCTTGAACATTAACTTAGCAGACACTGAATAACTGCACAAATTAATAAGCATAATGCAAGTAAACCTATTTTTCTTGTTCTCCGAAAGTGAAATAGTTCCTATTGCACACACCAAACAGGTCAGTCCAAGACTAATGACGTGGCTGTCGGCTGCTAAAATATTCGCTGCTAGTATATTCGCTGCTAGTATTAGTGGAGAGAAATGGTGCGCCTGCGCATAAGGCGTGTAGGGAAATGAATGCAACACAATTATAGTAATCAGTCATTAGCGAACGTTGTAGTTCGTTATTAATATTGGCTAGACTGCAAAAATATTCGTTGTGGGCTGCGAGTTTGACATGCTTGATATAAAGGCTCATAATTTGGGGGTTGAATACTAGCTCTTGCCTGAGACATTGGCCGGACCACCATCCAGGCTCATGTGCTTCTCCATGTAGCCTGGGCTTCCTCGCAGTCTGGGATTGTACATGCTTCCTGAGACTCTGGGACTAAACGAAATCCAGCATGTGACAGCCCTCGAGCCACTCCTGCACCCCACAGCTACCAGCATGGTTCAGCCACTCACCCACCCAGTGAATAAATAAAAGGTGGAGCTGGGTGGTTGTTCCTCTCCATTTCACCTGCCATAGATGGTCAAGAACCTTTCCTTTAACTGTACCCTCCGTAAAAGTTCACTCATAAACTATTGATATTTTAATAATACACATTAGCATCTTGCCCTTTGACGAATGAATATTGAATGAGCAATAAAGAGGCAAGAGTAGCCAGGTATAGTGCCATGGGGAAGCTGGAATCATAAGTAGTTGTTGGGGAATGTCCCGTTCCAGGGCCCTGTGACTCACTTCTCCCCCAGTGACCCCAGGAAACAGCTCTTATAGGAACTCAGATTCCAGCCCAGCCCAGTCTGAGCAGGATTTGTCCTCCGTTTTCTCTCACTTGGCTGGAGGGAACTTGGGAGAAGAGAGAACAGGCCATCGAAGAGCTGCTAAAGGCAGGGACGGTTCACTCCTCCATGAAGTCCGTGGCTCTCCCCTCTACCTTTGCCACAGGTGCAGGCTTCTCCCTCATAGGCTCTCTCCTGCTCCATAAATCAAAAGTCTGCAGACAGATTGTGTGCCCTTAAGAAATCAGGCAACAAGCTTAGAAATAACTCACACTAGTCCCGCCCCCTCTCTCCTTTCTCTCCAGGTCTTAATGGGCGCCTGTGCTTGGGGTGTGTGTTCAGGTTTATAAGACATCATTTCCTACCTCTCACAGCTCCTGCTCCCAGCCCTGCTGAGGTGGCCTCCAGTTTGCCAGGGCCTCCATCTGGGCTGGGGTCCTCAAGTGTGCAGGGAACAGTGACAGGGGCTCTTCGTTGGTCCGGCTTAATTGGTGTGATTTAATGGCGTTGCTGGCAGATTCAGATTTATGTGGCTTTCTGAGCTGCAAATCTGCTTTCTAAATGTAGAATTTTTGTGGAGTGGTAAAAAATAATGGCTGTTCTGTGATTCCTGCCTCCCGAGCTAGGAGATTGCAATTTACATTATGCAAATAGACATTATGCAATCAAGGCACTTTAGCAGGAATCTGGTGGCAGGGAGGCTGCTGATGAGATGCAGAGGGCTGACTTGAAGGGGCTTGGAAGGGGAGACAAACTGGGGAGGGGGCGGGTGGGAGAGGCAGAGAAGGTTCCTCTGGCTCAAGGAAGCAAAGTGGAGCCTGCCGGGGAGATGGACGCATCCAGGGAGCTGCCAATGCGACTCTCTCAATTAATGGCTTTGTTTAATCATACCCCCTGTCCAGAGGACTATTGTCTTACGGATAATTTCGTTTGCCTAACGAGATTTTGCTAATTAAATCTCCTTTCAGTTGGTGTGACTGTGCCTGCAGGAGAGGGGGGCTATCTGAAGTCTTTTCCATAAACCTTTCTGGAGGGGGCCTGGGAAGGAGGACCGGGAGATTGGGGAGGGAAGAGGAAGACGGAGGGAGAAACTCCTTGCTCTGAGCAGGAGGACCAGAGAGGCGGGGAGCAGGGTTTGGAAACTGCAAGGTGGCTGCCACCACCTCCTTGCCTTTTCTTTCCTGCTTGCTGGACATCCAGACAATCATAAATCAGCGTCCAGCCTGAGGAATCCCTCCCTCCCCCTTTTTCTTTTTCTGTGGCTCCATTATTCCTTCTCAAGTTCTTCCCGAATCCCAGGAGATGCTGAGGATTTCCAAGCACTGCTCCCAGTGGTGGGTGGAGGGGACCAGTGGTGATGCCACTGGATGATATGGAGACGGTGGGGATGTGGGAACCACTCTTCTTTCATTTGCTGTTAGCTGGCCATTTCCCCAGGGATATCTGCGTGAATCAGAGAGAGAACATCTCACATTCATTTATCATCAGCCAAGGATAGCCTCCTAAGGATGGGGGAGCCCAGCACTGTGCCTACAAGAGCTGGAGCCTAATGAATGCCGTTGTATCTGACTGTGCCTGGCCTGTGCTCCATCGTCCCCAGTGGTTCTTCACCATCCACAGCTTCCTGGGCCTGGCTGACCTGGGGCTTTGC